TGTGTCTGAAGTATTTTGGAAAGCAAGCTTGGCACTGAAAAATACCAAAGTGTCGATTACCTTAAGCAAGGGCTTCGCCGGGAATGGGTCTGACGGTTTGAGAGCCATAATTCGTGCCAAAGGTGACCAATTCGAACAAATGTTAACTTATCTTAAAATTTGATGCTATTTCCGACAATTTTTGCTTTCATTCAATAAAATTTAAAAAATATAATGTAAAAATTTTTGGCGTTTGACTTTGTTGCAGTTTTTTTTATCACACCCTGTATATTTGTTGTCGACTTAATTTATGGAACTTTAGCCAAGCTTCCGCCAAAACTCCGATTTATTTTATTCTAATACATATATTCCCATAGAGTATATATATTCATAATCAGCATAAAATTCTAAGTCGATTCTACGATGTCCGTGTGTCTGTCCGCCGTCTGTCTGTCTGTTGAAATGACGATACAGCCAACATTATTTCACGTAGAGCTTCAAAATTTGGCATAACAATTTTTATTGTGTCTGGGATGGTTGGTATTGAAAATAAGATATATCGGTCCCTCGTTTTCCCGATATTCGGTATTTTTAAGATTTTCGCCACATTTTCCACGGATTTGTATAAAAAATGGTATTTGTAGAGCCAGTAGAGCCCTATCTCCGGTGGCGCCCTATCTTCGGTGGCGCCCTATCTTCGGTATTTTGATTATTTTTGTCACATTTTTACATGGACTTGTCTAAAGATTGGTATATGTAGCTCCGTTGGCGGAACATTGTATGTATAGATCCATGTTTTCGTATGGCCCCCATATAACGGAACTTCCCAATATTTGGTATTTTGATGAATTTTGCAACATTTTTTTCACGGATTTGTCTAAAAATTGTATTTGTAGGTCATAGTGTGTTCTAGCTCCTGTGGCGAAACATTGTATGTATATATTCATGTGTATGCATATTTGCTATGTATGTCGATCCTTCGTTTACTAAAATATATTTTGACTTGCGTTATCATTATTCAAATTGTTGACGCTTTAAGGAGGTCATACCAAAGGAATTAGCCAATATTGTCCACATCTGACCCGACCGTGATATAAATATTACGACGTGCCAGGTTTGGACTATATTGACTACTTCCTCCAATTCCTAGTTTTATTTATTTATTTACTAGCTGGTCCGGTCCGCGTTGCCGGCCCGTAGTTTTTGTCTATTATGCATATTTGTCAAAGCATAATTATTATTACTTTTTTAAACCCATTAGCACCTCAGATTGTGCATTAGAGTACTTATAAGTCCCCCTAACCATGTCGGTCTGTTTTTCCGCCAAAAGGTGAACTTGAGGGGGTACTATTACATGGAGAAAATTCTAAAATTTGTAGATATGTTGAAATTTTTGTGTAAGATTTTACCCCCAAATACACATTTTTAGCCAAATCCTTTGAAATATGGTAAAATGCGAAACATCGACCTACATTGAAAACTTTCTTCACCATAATCCAAGATGACAAATAGAGGCCAAATCGAAAATATAGCAGAACAACACAGCATGTCAAACTGAAAAAAAATCACGTGATTAAAATAAGTAAAAAAAGTTTTATCCACCTCATAATTGAGGTCAGACTGATTTCAGAATAGTCAAATATAATTACTATTTTACACCCATTACCGTAATATGGGAACTAATTTTATTTGTCATTTAAATTGTAAATTGGAGACCCCATAAAGTCCATATTTTTCATCATAGTATAATTCAATGACGATTCAACACATATTCGGTCCCGTGCTACTTCCTTATATTTGTAATGTGTTCATGTTTTCACAATTTATTTCATATAGATGTATATCCCAAATCTACGTTCCCAACCAATATTCTCTTGGGGGTTACAAATTCAATAGAATACAAATTTTTCTTTTCTGACCACACATTAGATATGAAAGTGGACTTGGGGATACTCCAATGTGGGGACTTTACATGAATAAATTTCTATGTGGCAATTATCTGTACGATGATTCCTTACCCCAGGGTAGCATAAATACAATTTTTTAGTGGTCAAGACCAATATGGGCCCTACTCCGAAAATTTAATGCGAAGAGGTTCTCTACCCCCTTAGAAACAAAGATGCCAAATAAGGGCCAAAAATAGAAGAAAGTGGCGAAGACTCCAAAAATAGCTTATATCATGCGATGGTTATTTATGATCGATATCATGACCTGCAAAAGCGATTTAAGGTATCTTAAATGTTCAGGAAGAATTTTTGGAAGGATAGAAATCCTTTTCCTACTAAAAGTCTTATTCGCTCTACTATTTTGCACCCTTTATATGTGGTATTTTACTGATTGTACTCCCAAAAATGTTTGCATTTTGAGCTCTCATTGGACGGATTATTGTTACATGAAAGAAGTAGGTCCACGCTTTTAAATGAGCCCCATTAGTTTTTTCGGTCATTTTTGTTTGTTTAAATGTCTGCGCATCTTCCAGCTGAAGCACGATGTAGGCCCTGGAGTTGAAAGGTAGATGTCAGTTAACATCCTATTTCGCACTTATTTAATTTTTTTGGTGAAAAATTTTATATAGTGAAAAATTTTCTTTATTTTGTTCACAAAAAAATCCACTGAATTCAACATGATAATACAAATTGAAAAAAATTACAAAAGAAGAATAACAAATTGAAAAAATCTTCAACTCGTTCGCTGATTTTTTACAGCAAATGTTTAAAGACCCTTACAAAGTTTGTCAATAAAATGTACTATTATTTTAAAATTCGATTCCATTGGAAATTTTTTTTCGATATTTTCCCGTTTTGAGAATTTTTGCAATGAGATCTCTTTTTTCGTGATTTTTTTTAACGATTTTGAAAAAGTAATTATCTTTTAACTTTGGTGTGACCGCATTAAATTATTTCGGTATCATCTATTCCGTTTCGCCACCACATAATTCGGTACTACACTTCCATGTAACCCTCCATCAATTTCAATTCTCAAGAAATCAAGTCAATTAAATAAATTGGTATTAATATTCGAATTCAAAAATAAAATATAAAAAACACTACAAATGTACATTAGAAAAAAGTAAGTCAAAATGGAAAAAAAACATGCAAAATAAAACATTACTATTGTACATTTCAAAAGTCAAAATAAAAATGTTAATATATCACATTTTTACGCGATTTTTTTGGATATTATCCTTTTTGGATAGGAGACAATTCCGAATTTGTATGAATCATTAAAATCAGTTCAGCGGTTCTTAAGTTATAAGCGTAGTAACTAACACAACTTTCTTTTATATATATAGATTCTTCTTGGAAAATTTATTTTATGTGGATGTCAGAAATTTTGGACCGACATACCCAAATTTAATTTGGATATATTGTTCATAGAAATATTGGGAAACACGAAGTATGAAGCAAATCACTGATTTGTTTTCATGTTATGAGGCTTATAAGAATTTAAAAACAATCGGATTCTTCTTCCACATCTTGTAAGCAAATTTTCACCACACAGATATGGGGCAGGTACCGCTAGATCAACTCCAAAAAGACCTAGGGTCCATAATTTCGATGATGTACGTTTTGGCTGTATAAAATGTTTTATACCAGGGTATATAAAGTCAGTATATATATTTGCTCTACTTTTATTGACTACAGAGGCTGGGTGGTCGCAGCCAGAAGCTTCACTTTTATCGATAACTGTGTATCAGAGATTTCCCTCTCATTTTGCATAAAAAGGCGACTTTATATATGCTTTTCAATACCCTAATTTATTTTCAGTTATGTCTGGATATTGTTGTGATACAAAGACTTTGGAAGGGAATTCCCAACAACCTTTTTTCCCTGTTATGAAATTTCTACACAGAGGAAAGATAGGTATAAATTATGAGTTTAAAATCCTCTGCCTTTATTATATTAACACATATATTTTTCCTTACATACTTCCTATTAATTACCTTCGAAATGTGGTATGGCTTCCATGTCATATTCAGAACCGTTTCTAAAATAAAACCACTGTTTTTGGCCAGGAGCTAGATTCTTATATCAGTCCAAACTTCTTCAAAGTAGATTCTAGATTTTAAAACTAAAAGTTTAATTCATGACCCAGCCAAAAATATAGCAGCCTATTTTAAAAAAAGTTTCTTTCATCCGAAACGTTTGTATTCAAATGTATAAGTTTTAAATTTAAAAGATTTCGTCTGCTTTCGGAAATTTTTAATATATTAGTATTTCAAAAAGCTTATTTTGTAAATCTTTGATATTCTCCTTTTTTGCATGTTGAACAGTAAATAAATTCCAATTTTACAATTTATATATATTTAAATATTTAAAAATGTCCAAAAAATATTTGAGTCTTATGGTCCCTTAAAATACGCAAGCATAAGGTTTTGGGTAGGACTTTCGCTATTAATATTTTATTATTCTTCACACTCGTACATACATATATGCATAGTTAAATCGAATGGAACATATGCATACCATGCGTAGGGAATTCGAAACGGTTATCTGATCTCTGGTGTGACCTTTGGCAAAACTAAATGCATTTCCTAGATTCTCGTCAGACAAACGGCTTGGCTTGTGATTTGCGGAACATTACAGATGATAAACTTCTGGTAATGACTTGTTGACCGTGGTCACTTTTTTGTGTCTCAGCCGGACAGAAGATTTGCGTCGAAACCAGAGTGATTACAAATAACTAGTTTTGTGTTCTTCTTTTTAGTTTTGATTTATGAAAAAAAGCATCTGGTTTTGTGTTGTTGTCGACTTTTGAGACATTCTGCAACAAAGGCTCAACCAACAATCTACAGCAGCAGCATCTATCTGGGTGTTGCAACTAAAATCGTGAGTGTGTGTGTGCGCGCCCGTGTGTTGTCTTATTGGTCTGCAAATCTATATATTTTTTTCCGCTGTTTATGGACGGACGTTGACTGATTTGACATTTTTGTAGGTTTTGCGAAATTGAATGGATAAGAGCGCCTGCACGCGAAGATGACACTTGTATAAATAGTTGCAATGTATGGTTTGGAAGGCACAGTCAGTTATTTGACCACATTCGACAAAGAAGGAAGGAAGCGATTTTTGGAATATTAACAATGAAAGTTTTGTTGGTTTTGTGTGCATTGGTGGCCGTAGCTTCAGCTGGATTGGTGCATGGTGGCTGGAATAGTGGTTGGAATTCCGGCTGGAATGGTGGTGGTGGCTACGCCACATATCCCAAAGTAATTAAGGTCATACGCGTTGGTGGCGGTGGAGGAGGTGGTTGGAACGGCGGTTGGTCTGGCGGTCATGGAGGTTGGAGCGGCGGCCATGGCGGTTGGAATAATGGAGGTTGGAACGGTGGTTATGTCAGCAGTGGACATGGCTGGTGGTGATTTCTTTGTTGCAACTGTCAATTGTTCTTTGTGAAAAACGGAAATGATTTGTTTTATTTTAAAGAAGAAAAAAAATCTATAATTTGGTGATTCTCCCTATTTTTCATTCTTTGTGTTGATTAATAAAATATTGTTAAAGCAGAAAAATTCGAAAACCCATATGTTTAAATGGTGGTTGTTGAATTTTCTCATCTCAAATATTCTGTAACCTATGTGTTGTAGTATTTTAATGGTAAAGAGTAATGGTTCATGATGCAGGCATGATTTTAAAAACTGATTTATATAAAAACGTAGTTGAAAATTTTTGATATGAACAGTTGGTGGTTATATTCCGTCTGTTATATAAAAGGTCTTACATTTACTTTGCAAAATTCAAAATTGTTTGAGTGCAACGCCGGTGAGATGACAATAGTTACGTTATAAAGAAACTTTTATATACCCTACACCGTACATAGTATGAAGGGTAATCACGCTAGAGTCAAAACGAATAAGGGTAGGAGCTAAAATTTTACACAGATCAGTCTCTTGTCTGCAGGCGGGTCAAGTTCGAAGATGGGCTATATCGGTTCACGATATCGTATAGACCCCATACAACAGTACCACCCGATATTCCGTAATTTGATGATTTTAGCCACATTTTCCAATGGAATTGTCTGAAAATCCACACAAGGAGTTCTTTCTGAGTACTTTACCCTCTGGAAGAGAAATGTTAATATAGGTACACGATATCCTATAGCCCCCATACAACGGGACCACCCGAGATTCGGTACTTTGATGGTTTTAACCACATTTTTCAAAGGAGTTACAAGGAGTTCTTTCTGAGTACTTTACCCTCTGGAAGAGAATTGTTAATATACAGGGTGAGATAAAAAATGAAAACAAAGTCAAACCCCATAATTTTTAAATTTTATTGAATGGAAGCAAAAAATGTCGGAAATAGCATCAAATTTTATAATAAGTTTAGATTTGTTCGAATTGGTCACCTTTGGCACGAATTATGTCCTTTAAACGGCCAATGAAACCATCACATGCTGCCCGAAGGTTGCTCTGCGGTATTTTGGCCCATTCCCGGCAAAGCGCTTGCTTTCCAAAATACTCCAGACACAATAGTCCAACGGATTGGTATCCTGAGATTTTGGTGGCCATTGTGCGCTGGAAAAGAAGTGAGGAACCTCATTTTGTAACTATTTTTGGGTGGCGCGTGCTAAGTGCGATGGTGCTGAGTCCTCTTGGAATTTTCAAGGTCTGCGGCCAAATTGTTTGCGTGCCCAAGGCTTTAATATACCCTTCAGAATATTTTCGCGATAATATTCGGCATTTATTCTGATGCCATGGTCGATTAATACGAGCGGAGAGCGACCATCGGCTGCTCTGGCGGCCCACACCAACACCATGGCCGGCGCTTGAGTTCTAGTGGCCAACCGAAGGTGCACATTTTCAGCTGACCTTTTTGGCAAGTAAACACGATCATTTTGTTTGTTTGCAAACTGCTGGACAACGAATGTTTTCTCATCGGAGAAAACCAAATTCGGCAGTTCACCACTTTCTGCCAAGCGAAGCAACTCTTTTGAGTCCATTTTCTTGCGATGTAAGTTCTTGCACTTTTTGGAATTTCAATGGCTTTACTCCGCGGTCATTTTTCAATATTTGCCGAATGGAATATTGCGATATGTTCAGCTTACGAGCCACGTTCGGTCACTGCGACGCGGGTTTCTTTACATTTCGAACCATTTCTGTTTATGTCGCTGTTTCCTTCCGTCCACTTCCGTGACGTCGGGTTATGCTACCTTTATCACGGCAACGAGCGATGGTATGAGACACAAAAGATTTATTTCGATTTATATGCTCTAACGATAGCCACTTGTTATTTTCCAGACAAATATGAAGAAATCACACTATAACGCTTAAATTCCATAACGAATAACTTTTTTTCTGGAAAATTCCCACCAAAATGCTTTTGTACGCTTGTAAACAATATAATGTGTTGTCACGGGTATAATTTTAACAGCTGTCGGACGAGTGGCTTGTATAGGTCCATAATATCGTATGTCCCTCATATAACGGAGCCTACATTTAATCGGTATATTAAGGATTTTAGCTACATTTGTCAATGGAATTGTCTAAAAATCCATACTAGAAGTTATTTCTATTCACTTTACTCCCTGGAAGAGAAATGTCTATATAGGTCTACGATATCATATAGCCCTCATTCAACGGCACCCCCCGATATTCGATATTTCGACGATGTTAGGGACATTATTGAACGGAGTTCTTTCCAATTTCGTATTTAGAATTCGTAAGGAGTACTACAGCCTTTGACAAAGAATTGTCTATACAAGTCCAGGTCTTCGTATAGGCCCCTTATAACCATATATTCGGTATTTTGACGATTTAGCTACAATATTTACCGAAATTGTGTGAAATTAAAGTTCCAAATAGGTACTGCAGCCTATGACATAAAATTGTCTATGCAGGTCCACGTCTTTGTATAGACCCCAATATAATGGCTATATTCGGTATTTTTAAGATTTTAACAGATTTTTAACGGAATTTATTTTTTGAAAATTCCCAAATTCGTTCCAATTGGTGGAGGGTATTCAAAGTTCTGTCCGGCAAAACTTACTGGGTTTTTACTTGTTGATGTTAAGTTATTTGGTTATTTTAAATCATTTACTGTTCTCTGACAGAGTTAGATAGAAATACCTTTATGGGTTCACTTTCATCAAGTTGAGTGGTTGTTCCACAGAAGTTTTTGGCTTTTTTGTCCACAGGAGCTGCGGATCGTTGTTCGAGCTGTAGGTAAAGTATTGGTAGTGAATTAGAAGTAGTCATAAACTGTAGTGGTAGATAGTCAAATCACCTTGTTATTGAAGACCACCCAACAACCTATACTCGAACATACCCACAGGGAGCCGTTGATCTGAACCTCAACTGTTATGCAAAGAGTTCCCGATTTATTTTTGATGATCTGAAAATATTTTCCTGAACATTCCTAAATCAGTACGCCGACTGTTGGAACATGTCATACCGACAATTGACAAGTGGTGCCGACTACTAACAAAAAACAGTATTTTAATAAAACTCCAAATTTATGAAATTTAATAAAAAGATATTAAAACCTTATTTATTATTGCAAAAACTATACAAAATTTCGAATCTGAATAAATTAACTTAGTAATAATTGAAAAGTTACACTCAGCATGGTGAGCGATTGAAAACGCGAAAATCCTAAAAGTGCCGACTATTGGTACAGTTACCATATAAAGATTCCATCAGAAATTTGGTATTTTGATAATTGTAGCCCAATTTGTCGATGGAATTGTCTTTTTTTTCAAATTTTCGTATCTAAAGTTTTTAATTCAGATTCACGTCTTTCTACAGCCTCCATATAAAGATAGCTCCGGTATCTTGATGATTTTAGCGACATTATTCACCTTAATTTTTTTATACCCTCCACCATACTATGGAGGGTATATTAACTTTGTCATTCCGTTTGTAACTCCTCGAAATACTCATATCAGACCCAACAAAGTATATATATTCTTGATCAGCGTAAAATTCTAAGTCGATTTAGCGATGTCCGTCTGTCCGTCTGTCTGTCTGTCTGTCTGTCTGTCTGTCTGTCTGTCTGTCTGTCCGTCTGTCTGTCTGTCTGTCTGTCCGTCTGTCTGTTGTAATCACGCTATCTTTCGAATGAATTGAGATAGGTGGCTAAAATTTTGCACACATGTTTATTTTACCAGTAGGCAGGTTAAGTTCGTAAATGGGCCATGTAGGTCCACGTTTTCATATAGCCCCCATATAACGGTTTTTTGATGATTTTAGCGACATTATTCACGGGAATTGTTTCAAATTTGGTATTTGAAGTTCAAAATGGATACTACACCCTAAGACGGAAAATTATCCGTGCAGGTCCACGTCTTCGTGTAGCCCCCATATAACGGTACCTCCCTATATTCGGTATTTTGATGATTTTAGCGACATTATTCACAGGAATTGTTTCAAATTGGTATTTGAAGTTCGTTATGGGAACTACAGTCTGTGACAGAAAATTGTCTGTGCGGGTCCAGGTCTTCATATAGCCCCCATATAACGGTACCTCCCTATATTCGGTATTTTGATGATTTTAGCTACATTATTCACCGTTTATTTCAAGTTTCGAATTTGAATGGCTTATGATTTTGCATTGTAATGGCTTATGATAAAAGTTACCTATGCAGGTCCATGTCGTCGTATAGACCCTAATGTAACAGCCACATTCGGTATTTTTAAGATTTTAACAGAATTTTTTACGGATTTTATTGTTTTTGAGAATAGCCAAATTCTTTCCAAATGGTGGAGGGCATTCAAAGTTTCGCCCCGCCGAACTTACAGCTTTTTTAATTGTTTCAATTTGATTTACGATATTAACTTGTACATTTTGTAAAATTTTGTCGCCTTGAAATACTCTGTGTTGGGGGCATAATATTGAGGTTGCAATTATCGTTCGATCTTCACGAAATTTTGCATGGAGGTAGGGTTAGGGCAGAGAAGAAGTCTTTTATTCTGGAAGATTTTCGCAAAATATTTAAGTTTAGAAAGGGCCAAAAAATTTATTTTTTTTTTTAGATTTTAAAGTCGCCCTACAGTTCTCAAATAAGTTTCAATAGAGAATGGATTTTTTATGAGTTAAAAGTGTATGACAGCGCTAAAGCTTAGCGTTTTGGATGCTCATCGCATAATATTTAGCTGGTGAAATGGACCAACATTTTGTGTGAAAAACTATCAAAATTAAAGAAATCACAAATGCATGCAAATTGAAGTCTGACCTTTATATTGATGCTGATTTCGTTGACAAATATTGCTAAATATCGAATATATAGGAAATGAATGAATGTAAATTTTAAAATATAGTTTTAAATGCCCATGTACACGACATAGGGCGTAAATATAGGGTAAATGCTACGAAGATTAGCGTGACCTAATGGTTTCGGTCAAAAGCCAAGGAATAACTTTTACAGGACCCTGTATTTCAAGAACAAAATGAAAATAAAATGTTCAATGTGCATTGAAAACAAATTTTGAATGTGAAATTTCTGTTCTTTTTGAAGGAGCGAATTAAGTAGT